CAACCATTTATTTAATCGGGAATCGAACCGCGGAAGTTTCATCTGTACAGAAAAAGCGCCCCTCCACAGATCTATGAGTCAGGCTTAGATATTATGTGAATAAAGAAGAAGAAAGTTTAAATAATAAAAAATATAATAGCAATGAAGAAGAAGAAGGCGAATTCATAAAGCACAAACAAAAGAGTATATCACAGACAGACAGACAGATAGACAGAGAGACGGACGGAAAAGGAGACCTATTTTTTCGTACTCAAGGACTTATGAAACGTCTAGAAAATATGGAAATAAAAACTAGTTATTTTGCGTTATGTCTTGTATTTTAATCACATAACTAATCAACTAAAAGAAGCAGAGTTTTACAAAAAATGTTTTCAAAACTTATCTCAAACAATTCAAGAAGTTTTCCTCTGAGAGACTTTAAAATATAAAACTGAGTTTTTAGTTTTTCTCTGAAGAATAAGAAGAAAATTTTATACCGGGTGTTAATAAATGATTTGCATCTAGTAGGCTACGAAATTCATTTATTAATGTGCCGCTTCACTGACTTGCTAAATTAATTAATCTATCAATTAATTGTCAAACTTTGAAGCAAATTTTAACGTTTATTTCTTTAAATAACAAAGGAAACGAAAAAATGTGGACTCAAGACGATAAATTTATTAACGAAGCCTATTTTCTGTCTGGCCAAGAGATTGACGGAGGACAATACAAAAACTGTACCTATTTTTCGAAAGCGGCAAATTTTTTTGTCGAGTCTTGTTCACAGCCCTCTAGATATAATCATTTATTAACACCCTGCATAATCAATTTGGCACATCAAATTCGCACACCAAAATGAAGAGTACCGTTTAACACACAATCGTAGATGTAGATAGAAATAACAATAATAATCGGTGAGAATTCGAGGTATTCAAGAAAGACAACAATACACTTCGTTACATTACTCCAGACTCTCATCACTATCTTAAGATAATATAGTAAGCACAGCTCAATTTTCTGGTCAAAAGTTACGTACTTTCCTCCGAAATGACGAAAAAAGTTCACAATCATTGATAACAAATTTGATCTTTCAGTGTTCTATCTTAAAAAAGGTAAATCAAAATATGACGCTTTAGATGACAGTTTCATTTTTAGCCTTTAACATTTTTATCACCAAATAGTCAGAAAGAATTAAAGAACTCGGGTGAAAGTTGTGTACACTTCAAAACTAAAAGTTTACAAGGTTAAAAAAAAACTGTTTCAAGTCCGTGAAAAATTATAAAATTCAAAAACAAAAAAAACCCACGAAAGTAGGAGTAAATTATTGTTTAACTTTTAAATAATTTTAATGTGGAAACTTTTGAGATGACGTCATCAAATTATTGGTGGGGGTGATTAGCCAAGTTTTGGTTAGCGTTTTACCATCTACATGATATTCCTAAAATTTGAAAACAAAAGGTCTAGTGCTTTCGGAGATTATTTGTCTAATAAAAATAGACATAGACGACACAGCGACGGAAACGGGAGACCTATTTTTTCGCACTACATGGTTCATGAAACGTCGAGAAATCATGAAAGCAACCAGTCCTTGGATGGGCACTCTTACAATCATTTATTGCCAACTTTTACCTCCCGGGCGGCAGCCAAAAAAGTACTGAAACAGAGTCATTTTTAACTTTTAAAAATTTACAAAGTGGGGTATTGTACACATATGTTGTTTGGGTATTATTACTATTATTATTTTCAGTTTTGCCGGCGACATTGGCGTTTTGAAAAAAATTATGTTGTTTTTGGAATTTGGATGACGCTACCAGGAAAAATAAAACTAGTAAAAAAAATGCGGCAGGTTATTTGACAGAACTTTCCTCGCCCTTGAGGTATACTCCGACAAATTTCGCTTCTTTAAAAAATTAGTCCATACAATTAATTAATTAACCTCTACAAAGTGCCGCAACTCCTGCATCTTTAAAAATTTCGCAGTCTATGCTTAACTTAGATTGTTTGTGTTTATACTTCGACCGAATTCGACTTTTAGCACGTTCAGACTACAAGCGTCAGCGGTTAAAAGAAAATTAAATTTCGTTTATTTTGTTTCGTCATTCCAGAGGAAAGGGCATAAAACAACCTTAAAATATCTTCATGATTTCACAGCATTCGGTTTTTGCAATTTCAAAGTTAAATTATAAAACATTGTTATACAATGTTGATTTTTTTTTCCAAAAATCTGGATGCTATGTTATTTTATAAAATTTAGAGAACATTTGTTCGCTAGCATTCTAAGATGACGTCATAATTTTTTGGGAAGGCCTTAACCGAACAAATTTTGATTAACGATTTATCATTTTTCCTATAACCTTAAAACTGTTGGAATATTTCAGTACATTCGCTTTTGCCATTTTAAAGTTTAATTGTAAAATACAATTTTGGATTTTTTTCCAAAAATCACGATGTCAACGGGAAAAGCCCAACACGGATTCTAAATTACCCATACATGGAGTATGTAATTCAATAAAGTTTAAGGAAAATTTGTTCTGCAAAATTATAAAATGAGCAATTGCAAGTTTTCAGAACATCCGGTTTTACGATTTCAAACTTAAATTGTAAAATGTTGTTACACAATTTTGATTTTTTTCTCAAAAATCGGGATGTCTAGGGTGAAAAATCGATACGGATTCATGAATCACACATGGAGGATATATCATCCTATAAAATTAAATATAAAAACAGCCTAATTTTGACGTTGAAGAAATTTTTTTGTAAAAATCTCGAGGTCAGCGGTTTCTGTATGGATCTGCTAGAATCGTGGTCAAAGTCTTTACAAATCCACAACTTTTTAAATAACAACCTTAAAGATGGGGTGAAATGTTAAAAACTTCACGACAAAAATTGACTTTTTTATTTTGTAAAAAAGCAATAAAAAGTTTCAGCGTCAAAATTGGCCTGTTTGCTTAAAAAAAAAGTAAACCCGAGTCACTCAAATGAGAATTAGATTTAAAATAACGAACAATGCTTTTGGAACCACCAAAATTTATATTTGGTAAATATAAATTACAGAACATTAATTCGTCAAAATTCTAAAATGATGTCATTATTGTTTTAAAATGCCATAAACGAAAAAAAATTGATTAACGATTTACTATGGTTACGATTACCTTAAAACGTTTACAGAATTTCAGAGCATTCGGTTTTGTAGTTTCAAAGTTAAGTTGCAAGATGTTGCAACTTTGATTTTTTTATCCAAAAATCGGGACGTTTAGGATAAAAACTTAACAGGGGGTCAAAAACCACATGTACAGGAGTATCTCATTTTATAAAATTTAATACTCCTCATATTTACAGTTTTAATTTTTGGAGATGACGCCAACAAATTGTTGATAGGGATGATTGGCCTAATTTTAAATGGCGTTTTACCATCTACACGATATTCGTAATCCACATATAAAATTTGACAACTAGTTCAGTAGTTTCGGAGATTATCGGTCTAATAAAAATCCGGACAGACGGCAGATAGATAGACAGACAGACAGACGGAAACGGGAGACCTATTGTTTCGTACTGAGTTTACTCTGTAAAAAGCTCTTATGTTACATTTATTGCATTTTGTAACATCCTGGATATGTAAAAAATGTAAATATGTCATTGCATAAGAAAAAGAAGGTTTCAGAAAATTTCCGGGTCTCCTGTAGGCGCAATCCGACACAATTTTATAATTTTTTCAGTGATCATCCAATCATTTTTTTCAAATTTTTGATTTAAGGATTGCAAAACATTAAATTTTATTTACTGATCTTCAGAAAGATCGTAAAAAAATATAAATGATATTATTATTAAACCACATACCTATATGCGAAATTTAGTCAACAAAATTTTTGGAAGAGATAGACTAATTATGTTTAGCGTTTAAATTATCCATAAGCAATTTAAAAATCTGTCTAAAATTATAACGGAATTCGTTCAGTAGTTTTATAGATATAATGTTGCCAACAGACAGACGACCGACGGACCGAAACGAGTGATCGACATTTTCATCATATTCTACAAGCCGTGAAACGCCGCAAAAAGACAATGTGAATACATTCACCAAAAGAACCCTTTTACAATAGTCCCCACTAAATCACTCAGTTGTTGAAATGTTACTGAAAAATAATTCATTTCTTGAAAAAAAAAAAAACATGAAAAATTCTTGAAGTTAGATGATAAACCGAATTTACGTAGAAAATTTTATTTATATTCGGACTGAAACTGTATATAGAAAGAATTAACTCTCCTGTTAGTTTTATCCGATGAGCTTTTATATCTAAACATTTACAGTCACCAAATTTAATTTTAGTACAAGTTTATTCGATAGGGAAAAGTCTGCTGGGTCAGCTGTTTTTCTAACAAGTAAACACCGTTTAACGTTAATACTTTGTTTAAAAGTGCATCTAAATTAGGCACAATTTTTTAGTTACGTGAATAAGTAAGCGGCACGCAATAAATAATGTTTGGGCTACACCGTACACGATTTGCACAATTTGCATGTCTGACCTAAGTACTGGCAATTTTTGTAATAATGGCAAATTATGGAGTTATTTTAAAAAATAATATCTTCGAGAGAGATATTTACGGTAGGTAGTTAGTGAAAATAATAAAGTATATCCTGTATGCATTTTTCATTATTTCATATTATAGTAAAAAATATTTTCTCGAAAACAGTTATTAGTTATTATAATTTTCTGTATAATAGTTATTTATGTGCCAAAACTGAAATATGGGAAGAGTTTATGAAATATATTTGTTTGTCAGGTCTTGCGCGCAAACTGAAAAAATATTGCAGCATATGCTTGTTGCAGACATTTTTTTTTTGGTCATCTTATTAGACAGACATACTCGAAAACTACTGGAATGATTATTGAAAAAAAAAATAGTGTACTTTAAGAATATGTATTGTATAAATGATAAAAGTCTTTAATACCATAAAAATTATAAATATGATCAAAAGTTTGCACTAAAAACCTGTACCTAGAGCCTTTTATTTGCAGGTATCATCAGTACTGATTGCGGACACCAACAACCTCAGTAGTAAAGACTGGCTCTTAGATGTTACTGATGATACCACTATTTTATCGATACCACTAGATGCCAGCGACAGTGGTCTTTTTACTGGAAATTTTGTTCCACCTCCACCGAGGCCATTATTTCTTGAAGAAGGGATAACACCCGATGGATTAACGACCTGTGATTTATGTTCGTGGGCATGGCAGAATGGAAACCTATATGCTACGGATACTACTAGTCTAGGTAAGTTTTTTTTTACTTATCTAGATGTGTTTTTTTTTTAATTAGAATTTCTTTTCGAAATGACGCTCAAAGCTTCGAAAGTCATAATTCAAACTCTTCCCCAAATTAAGTTTATAATAAAAAGTGAAACTCAAGTGTGTAATTTGGAAATTACCGATCCATCTATGAAAAAACTTTACCTAATAATCTAACTTTGCGCAAGAATGAAGTGATTAACCTTACGGTGAACACCTGTATCCTGCATTACTGTTCAAAAATTCGGTTCGTCTTAATGATATGTCTATTGAAACGTACTTTTGAAATTTCTAAATATGGTTGCTCTTTGAGAAGGTAATTTTTGTCATTAAAATAAAATTAAACCCAACAATGAGATTTTTTTTGTATAAGATTAAATCTGATTTTTGTATGTTCACCTGCAAATTCACTTTTTATGATCTCTTTTGTGAATAAACCAAAAAAAAGGCTTGGTTTATATGTTGCCTAAATGAAGTCTATTGTTAAAGTTTGCTGGTAGTAAGCCCGTTAATCTTCCCGAGAGGATCATGATATAATAATACACTCAGTAATGTAGAAATAAATAAGTCGTGTAGAACACACTCTTTCGACTAATAAAGGGAACTACACGATGTCGATTGACAATGGCTTTATAATAAATTATCGACCAAGTAGCTATTTCTTGAAACCTGGAATAAATATAATAAGAAAATTATTTGTCTCGAAAAGTACTCCAGAGAAATATTTTTATTCTGTGTTATATTTAGTTATAAACAGGTTATGAATATTTATTCCGACATAATATGTAAGTACACAGTTTTATACTCTTAACAGATTTTAAGCAAATATTTTAAAACAAGTTATCTTAGACGTTAGTTTTATCGGCACGCTGTATAAATCACCGCAGTGTATGAGAATATTTAATTCTTGTCAAGTAAGAGTCATTATATGATATGCAAACAAATAACCCTACCCACGCGACAGAAGATCGTATTCCCACGACTATACAATTATTATATTAAACAGAAATGTAAAATATGCATTCTAAAAAAAAAAAAAAACACACACACACAGTGAGTCCCTTAACTAGTGTACATCGAACAAAGACTAAATGAGTTTTCCCACAGTCTGATATAAATTCTTAAATTTTTAAAATTTCGTCGATATAATTGTGGTCTTGAGAACATGGCACCAGGTCAAAGGATATTTGGAGTGTGTATGAAATATAGCAGCTTGTAACTAGGGCACGTGTTGGTTTTAATTTTTAATTCACTTTTAATTGCGGGCAACTGCAGTGTTAAGTGGTTAAATTAATTGTTAATTTTCTGTTATCACCAACTTTGAAGTCACCGCTAGTTATCATACTAGTTTTCATTAGTAGATAAATATACTAAACCTTCACTTCCAATCATCCAAACTATGTAGATAATAAAAAAAAACGAATTTTATAAAATTTTAGAAATTAACGATGTTTTACAAAATAGAGTCAAAAACAACTGAAATCTTGTTGCATTCAATAAAGAACCTTACCAGAATAAATTAAATACCACGAAAGGCGAAACAAAAAATAATAAGTAATGCTGCAATTTGTAAAGTTCTACGAACAATCTACAAATTTTGAGAATTTAGCAGTTTACTCAAAGTAATGTTTGTACGGATTGAAAATGACTCAGTGTTTTCCAGGCTAACAATTTGGAGCCTTTTATTTAAGTTCTTCCCTAAATAATCACACACTATGTTGCAACAACGTATCTTTTAAACATTCACACCGGACAGCTATTATACCTGACTAATGCATTTTTAAGTACTTTAAATACTTACCCTTTGCACGACTTTTTAACAAAGAAGCCGTCTATAATGATGAGAGAAATCTTAATAAAACGTTTATTATTATATGTATTACAAAAAAATATGATTGTGCTTTTTTCCCAAAAACATGCTGGGCGTTCTTTATTTACACTTACAGGACAATTATTAATTAAACCGGTTTGTATTACATGCAACCTGCAATTTTATGTAGCAGTCGTTTCAAAACAAACAACCGTAAAGAAGAGCAATTAATATCCTTCAGCTAAATGCAATTGCTGCACGGTAGAAATAACTGTGGGGTTATTGTAATTTGAAATTGTTACTCTTATAAAACCGTTATTATTGTTATATTGTGATAAAACTAATTACCTGACGTTTCTAGAACTGATTTTGATCTTCAGAGATGTACAAGTGAGTGGTTGATTGTTTGTTCATTGATTATAAATCGCAGGCAGCATTATAATAAGATCTAAATAGAGAATATTCACGTGGCAAGTCGTTCAAGCCTCTTCAATTTAAAAATTTTATTCTTGGTTGCTAAAATTTTGTAGGTAATACATTGCTTTCGAAAATTACAATTCATCATATCTCGAAATGTTGTTGGTATTTTTTTTCTGTGAATTATGAATTTATAAACTACAGCGGTATCCCACACATGCATATCAATTAAAATAATGCTGTAGATATATGTAGATTATTTGAGATACCGCTCACATTCGAAAATTCTTAACTAGCTGAGAATTCTTGCTGTTTTTTTTTCATGTATAAATATACAGTTTCGCTGATCATCTGGAAAATTCTCATTAACACGAAAGTTCTTGTTTACCGACAATTTCAAAGCATATTTTCTGCCTATAGCATTTTTTTACTGTATGAGGACAGCTAGATTTTAGATTTTAATAAACGGAAATGAATTTTAACAACATTGACGAAGATGATATGAAAAATTGTAACTACAAGATGTACATAGAAACTAAAGGCGACTGGAAGATTGGTAACACCATGGCGAAATCTCTCACAAGAAATGCATTGCATATGGACTTCACCTGCCGCCAACTAAACGTGAACAACAAAACGATGTTTAGGATGACTTGTCTTTTATAAAATATAAACCATCAACTAAAATTTTTATATTGGAACTACATATACAATAAAGACGAAAAAACGATAAAATTAATAATCACTCGGTATTATTTAAGTACTAGCAGCTACAAGTTATTTTTAAAAAAATTACTTCTCTGGAGATTTTCTTGTACAAAATATAAATACTCTAATAATAATAATGCACATATAAGCTTGTAAAGCACAAAAATAATGTTATGTTGTCAAACACCGGCGGTTTACTCAAATGATAGTTATGTGAGTTCAAAACCATCAATAAATAATACTTCTTTCGTGAAGAAACGTTGCACATTGTGGTTCCCTTCCGATGAAAACACAACTCTGCTTCATGAGTCATGACTGCATGACATACATCTGCCGTTATACATTCCTAAAAAATTGATGACGTTATCTAAAAAAAAGAGTAATGTCTTGAACAAATAATGATTCAAAAATGCGTCCCAAAGCACGATATCACTTGGACTTCAGTTCTTCCATTTCTTTCGAGACGCTATTACAAGATAACTAAAGAAATATTTGGGGCAACAATTTTGTTTTATCTGTTATTTCAGAAATGGCTCACCTAATTTCCGTTAAACTTTGGGAACATAGGAACATTATCAGCATCACTACATTGTATTTTGTATTTATCTCCACCAAAAAAAAATAATTTTTTGTTTGTTAGAATATACAGCAGCGGTCAAAAAAACAGCACACCCAATTAACATTAATTAGCATAATTAACTTTAAAATGAATGATTTTGTAATTTGTAACATTGCACTGTTTCCTTTTAATTTCAAATAGGTATAGGACATAATCCACTTATAAATTTGGTCGCAAGTCTGTGATATTAAACAAAGATGAGGTGTCCATTTTTTTTTAGTACTACTGTGGATAATATACATAAGAAATTACTTCCTCAAATTGATAAGCTAAGGAAGTATTGTATCATCCGGCGAATGGTTACTTCATGTTAAGATTTGTTTATCTACCGTCTGTGTCAATTTTTTTTTTTTTTTTTTGAGAGCTTTGAGGGACTGGTAGAACTCTAATATTCTCTCGTTGACTGGACTAAAACTGCCTGTTCCTGATGGTGGTCCCTATTTGAACAGCCACCACTCGTTGTTAGATACTTCGCAATCGAGGTTATTCTGGAGTGTCCATCGCGACTTCCGCTTCCAGGCTTTTTTTAATCGAGCGCCGCTGTCGGTGATGATGAGTCACCATACTAAAAAACCTATAGGCGTCGTACCGGGACGGCGTATGAGTCTATTTCGTAACAATACATTCTGTGATACACTCATTCAAAGCAAAAATGCACGGTACCGAGACATTGAGATTAATTTGCCTGACCCTGCTGCCTTACTGCTGGCCGAACCATCACATAACAGGTGATCCAGCCCCCTTGGGTCATGGTTTCGGTGTATTCCTTCCATTCTTCTCGTGGAGATACCAGAACTTTGTATGAATGATCTACCCCAACGACGTGAATTTTACTTTCATCCTTCATCCTGAAGATGGAGTAGGTCTCCATTATCATTCGGGCAATGGTTTCATGCCCCAGTCTCGTCGTCGTGTTTTTTCACTGACCAGAACTACGCCTTTTTTCTATGACGCTGTAATCGGGCCAAAAAAGTTTTAGCCCAGACTTTCATCCTCAACACATTACTTTGGGTGTTAAATACCACGCCCAAAGTGCTGCCATAGTTTTCTTGGTCTGATTTGCCTAGTGAATCGTCCAGGAAAGGCTGTAGTCCAAATAAACGCCTAAATACTTAGCTTTACTGTGTATGCGCAGTATTTCTTCAAAAAGTGTAGGACTCACAAAGTGGTCCGAATGCCTCTTTGTAAAAATGAAAGCTATTTATACAGGGTTTCTATTCACAGTAGGTCATGCAAACGTGCCGCTTCTCAGTTTTAGACTTTACTAAATGCCCAAGGACGCATAACACGCATCTGTATAACTGGTTGCCTAAATGCTTCATATCTTTTTAAAAAGTAAAACTATTTCAATGCAATAAAAAGAAACAAATTGATTGCGGTTAAAATCACAGTAAATGTTCAAAATGTTCACTATTTTGTTCAATGCACATATTCACTCTCTTTTTAATTTCAAAAATGTTCTGTAATCCTTTCGTCAATACTCATTGTTCAATTTCATGTTGCAATAGGAATTCCTGACTGCTGAGGAAATCTTGTCAAAGGTGTTGGCGGATTCTGCTCAAGTTGTCTCAAATTATCAACTTCCTCAGACACTGAAAGTCTTCCAGGAGATTTCCTTTGTTGACACTGTCAGTTGGAACAAATCTGTTGATTACATCTCTAATGTGGGCCTCTAACGATGTTTCCTAAATTATTAAATCACGATATTTAGCCAGATATTCTTGCTTATAAGCGGTTACAATAACAATGAAAGTGTTTTGTTTAACAGAATAAACCATTTTCACAGTTTTCGATTTCTGGCACAAAAACAAAATAGCAAGGGTTTTGAAAACGACTGTTTTGTTATTTTGAGCTTGGATCAACGAAAATTAGTGTAATTCACACTTGAAAACGTTAAAATTATAGCCCCTAGAAATAGTATCGTCACCGTGGAGCAAACCTGGCGGAAACTTAACAAAAACAAAAATTATTAACACCATTTGACAGACCGCGAAATTTAAAATGGTTTTATGTTGGATTTAAAGTTTGTAGTTTATATACAAAATATGGATTTTTAATTTGAATAAAATATAAAATGTAATCAATAAAATCTTATTTCGTAACTATTAGTTATATTAATTGACAATTCATTGACTTTAAACAAAAAGACCACGCCAAGACCACGTGACAACAACGGTTTACGCGCTGTCAACTCTCTGCTGACACAATTTGGTTCCAAACTAGGGGAATTTTTTGCGTTACCAACTGCATTTGCTCCACTCCTACAACAATGGATGACGGTACTATGTATTTCTAGGGGCTATAGTTAAAATAATAAAAACGACGACTTTAAATGACAGTGCTTACAAATGACATTAATGACAAGTGAGAACTGTCATAGTGAAGCATAATTTCAGCGAAGCGGGATTTTTGAATTCCATGGGGAATTACGCACTTAGAATCATTTATAAAAGCCCTGTATATCATCAACATATCCTTGAGTAGGTATCCCGACAAAATAGCTCTCTCAAAATAGCCTAAAATCTAAAAATTTCCATAACTGAACAAAAATATATGACACAAAAAATATGTAGGAGTACATACACTATTTTTTATTTCAATACTAGCCCTAGCCGCCCGCCCTCTATTTTCTTAGAGTGTATCTCATTTGCCAAAATTACTCTTATCTTAGCAGGTAGTAGCCCTCTAAAAGGAAATTAAGGACGGGCGGGCTTTTGCCAAATAGCATACCCTTGAAGAGAATAAAAGGTGGGCCGGTGGGGCAAGTATTTGCCAAAATAAGACCGATTTTGGCAAGTGACCTACTCTCTAAGAAAATAAAAAGCGGGTGGGCGGTGCTAGTACTTGTTAAGATAAAACTGATATTTCCAAATGGCATACCCTCAAAGAAAATAAAGGGTGGGTAGACGGGGCCAATCGTTGTCAAGATAAGGACTCATTTTGGCACATGATATACTCTCTACCATTCATTTTTTTGGAGGGTGTGTGATTTGGCAAAATCAGTCTTATCTTAGTGAGTACCAGCCCCGTCCACTCGCCCTTCATTTTCTTAGAGAGTAGGTCATTTGCCAAAATCAGTCTTATCTTAGCAGGTACTAGCCCCGCCCACCCACCCTCTCTTTTCTTAGAGGGTATGTCATTTGCCAAAATTGGTCTTATTTTAGCAGGTGACCTGACCTTACCTGACCCCTCTGTTGTCTCAAATAATCTTTAAACATTCCTGTGAATAAATAAAAATCAAAATGTACATACTTAAAACAGTTGTACTTTGTGAAACAAATATTAGAAATATCGTGCAGATGGGAAAACGCTAACTAAAATTTGTCTAATCATCCCGACCAACAATTTCATGACGTAGGTAATGTGAATATTGCTTACTACATACTATTTAAATTTTATACACAGAATATTTGTTGACGCGTTTCGCCAACTATGTCGTCATTATCTAGACAAAACTCAAGAGTAGTCTACATAATGCCAACGTGGTTCCGTGGTTGACAAAATTTGTCGACAAATATTTTGTGTAGTATTGGGGGAATAAACGTTAATTAAATAGTATTGTAGCACACTAAACGGTCAAAAAAGATTCCTAATATTTTCTTGTCGTTTCACAGATCATTGAATACGAAAATACCAGTATCCAATGTGTGTGTCTTTGATTTGAAATTTATAAGTATATCATCTTTATAATTACAGAACCAATTGCTTTGAATTGTTTATTTTAATATATTTTCCAGAACATGATGAAATGGTAACCAAAATTTGTCTTATTTATTCTCTCTAAAAAAGCTGAAAACTTAAGTAAGAAAAATAAAGCTCACTTATATTTTTATAAAATAAGGACCTTTGCTTGCTTCTGTTTCAGGGATTATAAAACAAATTAACTAAACTTTATTTTTTCATTCCCTCTAGAATTCTAGATAACTGACTACGTCATTTCGATTGCGATTACCTTTTTTTTTTCGTGAAAATAGAGTTTGTATAAACATTTTGGTTCTGAAAAATGATGACTAAATTTCGCCTTTTGTCTGATTTTTTACGGAATTTGTTCTAGTTACATTTTTTAAATTTTATTTACATTTGATTGTGTTAACCCTTTTCCCACAGCAATTGTATTATTGTTATCTTCTTACAGAAACACCTGCAAATCACATTTAATTGAAAATAATGCATTTCACAAGGACATAAAATTTAAATACTATAATTATATTTCATGGCAACAAGCGTGCAAGTTAACGAGCAAGTACTCTGAAACGTAAAGAGCTTGTAAAATGAAGTTAAATAAGAATTCTTTGCCCAATTGTCAAAACCTGACGTTTTTCTTACGTAACACCTACCCTAAATTTTATAGACAAATTTTAAGCTAGCATGTTACAAATACTTACAAGTGAACGTTAAAATCGTCTTCATCTCATTTATTTCCTGTTTGTTTCAGAACCATCAAGTGAAATAGGATGGGTCCTTACACTAGTGATTGTTTCGCTAACTTCGGCAATTCTTGGTGCAATCATAATGATAATAGTTCTTCATTGTAAAAGGTAAAACTTGAATAAGAATACCACTTCTCACTCAAGAACTTAAACCATCTCCTTTTTTTTCAGATTAAAAAGTCCAAACAACACAAACGGTATATTATTAACAACTCATTCCCTTCTTTTTTTTTCATAATTACGGTTTCAGGTGGTGACCAAGAACAAACACCTCGTAACGTCCAACCTGGTCCTAATCGTCCGCCCATTAATACCCCAGATGACAAAATCGTTGTTCACCCGAACGTTCCCTATAACCAGAACAACATAAATGGGGTGTGGTCATGGTTGTCCCGCAGATCGACCGCAACGCCATCACAGCTAGAAAATCCTCCAATGTCTTTTGTAGAGAACCATTACACTCATATGGAAGACCCATACAACAGCGTAGACGATGCTCTTTACGCTGAGCTAGATGTTGAAAGTACCATCAACAGAGATCCTAATACGGCTTACCAAAATTCGGCTTACACGGACTCAGATGCTCCTACGTCCAGTGCTCCAAGCAGTGCGTACTATTCGGACTTATCGGTTACGACAGGACCCGACAGAGCTTATGAAGTTGTCGGATTGTCAACAATGCCGGTCTGGGACGACGCCAAGAAACAAGCACCTGTTCGACTCGCAGTTATCAGTGAAACTGTTAATGTTCCTTCAGATTATGTTTGATCGAGGTGATAAGGTGTCATGAGGAGAACATTGCAGAGGAGAATATTAGATTAGGATATTTAATAGGGAATTATAGAAAATATGGTGAATATTTAAATGAAATAGATCACTGTTTGACAGTATTCCATGTTTTTAGTTTGCTAAACAATTTATACAGTTATAACGTTTGGCGATTATGACCTAAAGCTGCAATTAACTTTGACAGAATTTTAGTATTCCTGAACCGCAGAGGGCTGTAAAAAAAAGCGTCAGAGTCCGAATGGGATTCACGCACTTCGCAGCTTCGCAAAGCGGGGGGTGCAATCCTTTGGGCACGAGGTTCGTAGAATTGCGGCTCTCCACGCAAGTCACTGTTCGCGGAAGGAATTGCGTCACTCGAAGCAATCACGTCAGTGACTCTAAATACAATTCTAAGTTGCGTAAGCTCTGTCAAGCCCTGGACCACAGTAGGGATGACAGCGAATGAGAGCTTTAGGGTGGTTCTTTTTTTTCATAAAAGCTGCTATCTTCGATTCATTTTTTTTCCTAAGCTAATGAAATTTGTAGAACAGGATAAAGTTGAATGTCTAATTTCATGTTTTCTCGATGTTTCACAACATATACAATATGAAAATGTTGATTTCTTGTGTTCGTCCATCATCTGTCTGTTTGTGACATTATTAATTAAATAATATGCAAAACCACTGGGCTAATTATGTAAGCTAAGCTATAAAATGTCAAAAACACATAATTAGATATTCGTCAAACTACATAAGCTGACTACAAAAAAATTGTGAATGAAACTTCACATAACAAACTTTTTTCAAATTTTGGTGTGATACCAATATTGACACAGCCTACGTTTTTATGTTGTATGTAAAACCCAAGTCTTGAAAAAGTATAAATGTCAAAGGTTGTTGATAGAGCCTCTTTACAAAGAGAAAACCACTACAAACACCTCATAAGCAGGTAAGTATTAACAGAGTGCAATTAAAACTAACATAATGGAAGTATTTTCTCAGAATATAATAAAAAATTGCAGAAAATTTTGTAAGTACTTATTTAAGTCTTTTTATTCACTTTTTACTTCCAGAATATAAGCTAACGAAGTATTGCAATACGCCGAATGGCTACTTTCATGTTTTCTGGACGTTTAATGGCCCCTAGACTACGAAACAATATGTCTGTCGTTCCCGTCTGTCTGTATCAATTTTTATTTGGCAGATTATCTGCGAAGCTACTTAACCAACTGCTGTCAAATTTTATATGTATTTTAGGAATATCATATAGATGGCAAAACGGGTTACAACACTTGTCTGATCATCCCCACCAATAATGTGATGACGTCACCTTAAAATGTTGCACAGCAAATGTGACTTAAAACTAGAAAACCGAATAGTGTGAAATCTTACAAACGTTTTAAAGTTGTCTTAAGCATGCTAAATCGTTGATCAAAATTTATCGATTTCACTTGGTTGCATCTTTAATAATTTCGAGGTCCTAATAAGCAAACTTTTCTTCATTTAAAAACAACGTTAAATATGTTTTTTCTTCACTACAGGGAAGTGTGTTCTTTTTTCAAGGTACTGAATTACATGTGTACCTATCTAAAGAGTAAAGACGGTAGGGTTCCAGTGTTATTCTTTTCTAAGCTCTAAGTCACTTTCAATCACTTCTTAAATGTGATATTTTGCTGGGATAGAAAATGTCAAAAATTACTATTACGCAACCTTTGAAGGTTATTCAAGTTTTTCTTGCAAATCCTTCAAAAATCAAATCAAATTCTGTTGAAAAAAAAATCCATTATGAAAATGAATTCCATCCTATTGTAAAAATTGTCCGCTGGACTGAAAAATGCTGTGAGCCACACAAATATTCGTTTACTCATAGTCTTGCAAAATGATTTCTTTGGTATGATTAATGAATTCTATTAAATTTATGAATGCATAACTTCGTTACATGAATAATTCATAAACTCCTTAAGAACCTTGAAATTAGATGCATTAATCACAGGAATAATCCCGTTTTGGCACAACAGGATTTAAAACATGTAACTTATGTAACATGTTCACTTGAAAATTAAATGACCGTTATTTGCGAATAGGTAGTAAACTACATATTTAAACTTTAAGTTTTCAAAAATTTTGCACTTGTGATACTAGTTGAAATTTTGAAGTCTTTGGCCCCGAGAGTCATCTTCTAAATTAATGTTCGTTGCGAATACTATATACCCTCGCAATCCTATCCTTTAGTTTTTCTTACAGAGAGGACGTCACAGTAACGCAAGTATTAGTTATAAGATATGTAGTAAAAATAAATAATTACAGTTGCTAAGATTTTAGGTTTATTTTATCAGGGTGCGGATGTGTATAATGAAGTAAATCTAAAAATATGTTATAGATTAACTATTTTAAAAAATCTTAATAATTATGTGACTTATGGCATACTAAAAAATACCGATGACGTCAAGTCGTAACAATAAACAAATTAAGAATTTTGCATAATAGGTATATTGTTGGTGAAACACAGCTTACTGATCCGATGTCGTAATACTACCAGAACCGGTGCGTCATCAAATTGACTGTCAACAATTATTTCTATACCACCTAAAAATAACAATACAAAGTTATCTGTTATGGCATATATAAGGTGTTTCACCTAAATTAAACAATTAAATAATTTCAAACTGCTATTCGGATAGAAAATGATGAGAAATCTACAACAAAATATACAGGGTCGCTAGAAAGTATGGAAACGGTTAAATATTTTGGGAACCAATTGTACAAAAAATTAACTGAAATTAGGTCTAGGGGTATGTACAAGAAACTGTGCTCTAATTATTCGTTAAAAATTTTTTTTTCTGCTTGTTTCGAGATACAAGGTCAACTTGATTTTTTTTAAATGGCACTGCTATATAATTAATGCATTTTTGAATACAGCTTTTTCTAAATTCATTGATATACTTTCTTTCTGACCGAAATGGCAAAATAACAATAACAACCGAAACCAAAATTAAACTTCTGTGTTCTACAAAATATGCTCAAAATGCTCTCCATTGACTTCCTGTCAGTAAAAAATAAGCTGAATAAAATTTTGTAGTGAATTAATGAAAATTTCTGGGCGAATGCTAGCAATTTCGTTACGTATTCGTTCCTATAAGTCTTTAGTGTGAATCGGTCTATTGATATAAACGCGATTCTTTGAATAGCCCCACAAAAAAAAAGTTAAGCGGTGTCAAATCCGGTGACTTGGCAGGCCACTCAATAGTACCCTTTCGGCCTATCCATCTGCCACGAAAAGTTTCATTTAAGTACTGTCCCACTTGACGCCCCAAATGGAGTAGAGCACCGTCTTGTTGAAACCAAATAGTTTCTGCTGGTAACTTCGGATTTTGTTAACTGGGAAACAATTGTCTAAGTCTAGGCACTATACGCTTCCTCAGAATTTAAATTCCCATTAATGGAAAAAGGACCAATTACAAGGTAACCAATAATACCGCACCAAACATTCAGTTTTTCTGGACGCTGTGTGTATATTCACATGACCACTTACACACAACCTAGATTCGTTAAAAAACGCAATGTGTGCGAATCGGGTATCGGAGTTTGTGAAGGTGCCTATCGGTGCTCTTGTGTACCTTCTCGGCACGTTGACACGGAACGCAAACGCGGACCCATAATGCTGTGTCTTTCATGTCTTCATATTCGGTCAGAATGTTGAGATTGTTGGCAATTTCGCACTGCCCCAAATCGAATTATCTGATGCGTTTGTGTGCAGATTGACCTCACAGTTAGGATCAGGATGTCAGCATGGCAGCGTTTGCCAGGTCAGGTCAGTATCGATCGAAAGCTGTCACTGCTTCATCATCAGCCACATGGCAGACACCTGACAGTGCAGGCCCATTGGGTCACGCGGCAATGCAGTTAGATGGCGGTCGCCCGGCATTACAGTCCCTTGGCTATGACGCGGCAGTCCAGTCATATGGTGGTCACGCGGCACTGCTGTCACATGGCGGTCAATCGGCATTGCAGTCACGTGGTTGTCACGCGGTAGTGCAGTCCCATGGCGGTCATGCGGTCGGGCAGTCACATGGTCAGCCAGTCACATGGTGAGCAGATGGTCGCACAGTCACATGGCGAGCACATGGTCGCGCAGTCACATGGTGATCACGTGGTCGCGCAGTCACATGGCCAACACGTCGTCGGGCAGTCACATGGCGAGCACGTGGTCGATCAACCACATGGCGAACACGTGGTCGGACAGTCACATGGTCGGCCAGTCACGTGGCGAACACGTGGTCGATCAGTCACATGGCAAGCACGTGGTCGGGCAGTCACGTGGTCGCGCAGTCACATGGCGAACACGTGGTCGATCAACCACATGGCGAACACGTGGTCAGGCAGTCACATGGCGAACACGTGGTCGATCAGTCACATGGCGAGCACGTGGTCGGGCAGTCACATGGTCGGCCAGTCACATGGCGAACACGTGGTCGATCAGTCACATGGCGAGCATGTAGTCAGGCAGTCACATGGCGAACACGTGGTCGATCAACCACATGGCGAACACATGGTCGATCAACCACATGGCGAACACGTGGTCAGGCAGTCACATGACGAACACGTGGTCGCTCAGTCACATGGCGAGCACGTGGTCGGGCAGTCACATGGTCGGCCAGTCACATGGCGAACATACATGGTCGATCAGTCACATGGCGAGCACGTGGTAGCGCAGTCACATGGCGAGCACGTGGTAGGGCAGTCACATGGTCGGCCAGTCAGATTGCGAACATGTGGTCGATCAGTCACATGGCGAGCACGTGGTCGGGCAGTCACATGGTCGCGCAGTCACATGGCGAACACGTGGGCGATCAGTCACATGGCGAGCACGTGGTCGGGCAGTCACATGGTCGGCCAGTCAGATGGCCAACACGTGGTCGCGCAGTCACATGGCGAGCACGTGGTCGGGCAGTCACATGGCGAGCACGTGGTGGTGCAGTCACATGGCGAACACGGGGCAATGTAGTCAAATGGCGAGCAGGAGTCTGGCTGGTCCTTCTGGCCAGCTGGCCGGCGGCCTGGTCTAGTGGCTCTCCCTGTTCTGGCTGCTCTGGCCGGCTGGCAGTCAGCCTTCTGCCTGGTCT